CCGGGCTGGGGATTCGAACCTGCCACCTTAGGTGTACGTGGCTGGCGCCTTAGCTGCTTGAGCCACAGGCGCCGAGCCAACATCCTGGTTTTATATGATGCAAAATTTAAAAAAGAAATGAAATGTTTATGTATGAGGTCACAGACAAAGTTACCAAAAATGAACATAAATTCCACTGAAAACATAACATTTGAGTTCTATACATATAATCACATAAAACAGTATTCAAGAGAATTGGCCTACCTTCAACCTTCGAAAAATCATGAAACTCAGGACTGTATTCCTCTAATTCAGTATTATCAGGAGGATGAAAGTCCTTCATTTGATCTCCAGCCATGCAAAATTTAATAATATATTTCATTTTAACCTGACTGGTTTTATAGACAACAAATTCATCATCCTAGAGCAAAGAGAAATTAATAGGTGATTAAAAACAACAAAAAGCTTTGTTGGCAGATGTTCTCATAAAAGCATGTTTACTAATTTAGAAAATATTGAATTCAGGCAATAGATGTACAATAATTATTGAAACTTCAGCATATTTAGTAAAAGCAGGAACAAAAACCTGGGGCTATTCTTTGGGCATGCAGGACCCTCTTTGCCTGTTTCTTGATTAAAAAAAAAAATACCTCAAAGTCTGTAGTGGCAGAGGCAGTTCCTGAAACTCCATGCACACTGTCATAGCCTGTGGGTGCTTCAGTTAAGGAAAAGTCCTTCTTGTATAAGTCCATACACTTTCCAAGAGCCACATCACAGATGACCAGGAGTCTGGTGCCATCTGTCTCTCCTGGGTGTGAGTACTTAATACTTGTGCTGTGTGTCAGAGGAAATAAGCATATGTTTATAATTCACAGATACCTGTTAATGACATTTTATTGCATAAATAGAAATATAGTTGGAAAGACTTCCTTGGTAGACCATTCCAAGTTTTCTTTCTTTCTTCCCCCTTCCTTTCCCTTTCTTTCTTGAGACAGAGTCTCATTCTGTCACCCTGGGTAGAGTGCCATGGTGTCACAGCTCACAGCAACCTCAAACTCCTGGGTTTGTGTGATCCTCTTGTCTCAGCCTCCTGGGTAGCTGGGACTATAGGTGTCCCCCCCATGCCTGGCTAGTTTTTCTGTTTTTAGTAGAGATGGGGTCTTGCATACACCTACTTTGGCTTCCACCACTCCCAGCTGTATTTTTTTTTTGAGACAGAGTCTTACTCGGTTGCCCAGGGTAGGTGCCATGACAACATAGCTCATAGCAACTTCTAACTCCTGGGCTCAAGTGATCCTCTTGCCTCAGCCTCCCAAGTAGCTGGGACTGCAGGCAGCTGCCACAATGCTTGGCTAGTTTTTCTATTCCTGGTAGAAATTCCAGGGTCTTGCTCTTGCTCAAGCTAGTCTTGAACTCCTAAGCTCAAGCAGAGTGCTTGACTATCAGCCTCCCAGGGCTGAGATTATAGGCCAGAGCCACCAAACCTGGTCCAAGATTCAATTTGGAACTTTATTAAGCACTTAATTACGTAAAAATTTTTATGTAACACACACGTACATAGCCCTTACGTTGCGTCAGGCAGTGCTCAAAGCACTTTGTTCCCAGAGACAGATGAATTCTATTGTTGCCCCAAATCCTTATTAGCTCCTAAGATACACACATTTTGCTGTCATAAATACCAGCATGGTGAAATAGAAGAAAAGAGTCTGCACTTTATTAGTCAGGAAGAAGTAATTTCATTCTCTGCACTAAAGCTCAGAAAGAGATTGGTGTTTTCATTAAATATCAAGTGAATGAGAACAGGTCAAAAGGACAGACGAACACCATATTCCCACAAAGGCTCCTGAAACCACGAAGTAAAAATTCCAAATGATGCCCAAAGGAGAGATGTTTTACTTTTCTTTGGGAATCAGCAACTTTAATAAAGCAACTTTTGCTATCAGGAGCACAGGGTCAGCCTCATCTTTGGGGGCATTTTTTGGACACACCTCTAGTTTCTTTTAAAGGTCAAGTCCAAAATGTAAAAGTGTTGCCATAGGACCCTTCTTTGTTCCACCCCTAAAACTTGTACTTTAAAAAAAAAAAAATCAGCCTCCCATTCCTCTGTATCCCTCTCCTTTCTGAGGGCTCTGTCCCGCAACTTACGAGCATGTGTCCACCCTCATCACTAAGCCCACCCTGGATTTGGTCCAGGAGCTCCTCTGTCTACCTCCTTCCTCTCTCATCACACTTGCGGCAGAGGGGTCTGTACTCTTTCTTGCTCATTTACTGACCTTCCTCAATCCACTGCAATTTGGCTAAGTTCATGCTGCTACCCTAAAGCCATGCTACTAGAAGTCACTGAGGACTTCAATTTCCTTCTTCCTTTCCTTTCCTTCCCCTTCCTTTCTCCCCTTCCTTTCCTTCTTTTTTTTTCTTTTTTTTTTTCTTGAGACAGGGTCCCCCTAGAGTGTGCTGTGGTATTAGCCTAGCTCACAGCAACCTCAAACTTCTGGGCTCAAGCCATTCTCCTGCCTCAGCCCTCAGCCTCTGGAATACTTGGGACTATAGGTGCCTGCCACAAGACCCAGCTAAGGACTTCAATTTTCTTAAAACAATTGAATGCCCATCTATTTGTTAAAAAATATTGTAACATCTAAAAAATTTTTAATTTGAACTATTTTGTACACAGTAAAGAACATTTATATGGCAACTGTTTAAATAATAATAGTAAGACAAACACCCACATAGCTATTGCCTAGAGCTAAGACACCCCCAGTATTTCCACAATCCCTGATGGCATTACCTGCTTTCCTTCCCAGAGCTAATCTGATCACTTCTTTTGTTTATTTTCCTTCTTTTATAGTATTTACACAAAACAATGTGTATATGTGTCCATCAAACATGTACAGTTTTTTTTTTTATTTTATTTAGGTTTTTGAGACAGAGTCTCAAGCTATTGCTCTGGGTAGAGTGCTGTGGCGTCATAGTTCACAGCAACCTCCAACTCATGCTCAAGTGATCCTCTGGCCTCAGTTTTTCTATTTTTAGTAGAGATGGGGTCCTGCTCTTGCTCAGGCTAGTCTTGAACTCATGAGCTCAAGCAATCCACCCACTTTGGCCTCCCAGAGTGCTAGGATTACAGATGTGAGCCACCATGCTGGCCAACAATGTATAGTTTTACTTGTTTTTGAACTTTGTTTATATATAGAATTATATATTAATGGTACTTTTTATTCTACTATGTTCCTAAGGCTCGTCCATTTGGCATACACAGTGTAGGAATCCATGCAGGACTCCACCAAAATTTATGGATCCATTCTGCTGCTGACAAATGCTGGCATCATTTCCCATGTCCTGTGCCTGCAGCATTCTCAGTCACCCTGAATACGTCTCCTAGTACACCTGTGCTAGAGCTTTTCCTAGGTAGTGATTCCCAATCCTGGCTGTGCACTGCAATCTCCCAGGGAGCTTAAAAGCTATTGATTGCCAAGCCTCACCTATAGAGATCCCGATTAGCTGGTGTGGGGTAAAATCAGCACCAGTGATGTTTTAACACACACACACTCAGGGCAGGCAGGACTGAGAACCACTGCTTCCACCTTGGCCAGAGTTTTATCAGAGGATGCCAACATTTCTGCTAAAGGATTTATCAATTCATGCTCTGTGACCAGTGTTCGAGAGTTTAGATTACTATAGAGAATCACTCACACGTAGAGATGTTAAACTTATTTTTTATTTTTGTCAATTTACTAGGGTGAAAGGGTATCTCACTGTGGTTTAATTTGTATGGTTGTGATTACTAATTTTTTCAGACATTATTGTCCATTTATGTTTCCTCTTCTATTTAGTTTCCATTCACATTTTTTCCCCATTCGCTTATAGAGGTTTTTATCTTTTCCTTATCATTTGTAGGAACTCTTTAAATATCCTGGATAATTATATCCTTCGTCCTGCTCCTGAACCCAGCCTCCATCCTTCACCCATCCCTGCAACCTAGGCAGGTTACATAACCTCCTGAGTCTGTTTCCTTTCATAAAATGATGTCATAATACTAACAGTGAGGGTAACAGATGATTACAGAGAGCCCCTCACCTGGTACCTAGCACAGGTGAGCACTCAATATAGTAGAACTTGTATGAGGGAAGACTCAAATATTAACAAGATACTGAAGGTGAAATAGTATTACAGACATAGCAAGGTCACATATAATAGATAGACTGTTTAGAGGAGGGCTCCTGAGCTGTAGGAACTAACTGTCTTTGGACAGAGCCTGGACAGCTGAGTGCTGCCTGTGTTCTATTCAGCTATGTGACCTCCTCTCCCCTCATCTGTGCTCTGGGGACAACGACAGGACTTACCTCACAAAGATGTAAAGATTCAGTGAGAACATATATGTAAAAATCACTAAGATTATTTCAAATGTAATTTCCCCTGATATTTACTACTAAGGACATGCTTCTATAGCATACTCAGAAAACTGGGTGTTTTTCTTTTCTTTTCTTTTTTTTTTTGTTGTTGTTGCAGTTTTTGGCCGGGGCTGGGTTTGAACCCACCACCTTCAGTATATAGGGCTGGCATCCTACTCTTTGAGCCACAGGCGCCACCCAAACTGGCTGTTTTCAATGATTTTTTCAGTGTGAGAAACTCCCTTACCAAGCAAAGACAGAGGATAACACAGAGCAAGTATTGAGTAATGATTCCTTGATTAAGGATAGAACTTACCTGAGTGAATCACTGAAATAAATCCCACTCCCAAGATTTCCAATATCTGTTCTTTTCACGCCACGATCTTCAACTACTTTGGGTAAAAGCAATCCTCTAAAAAGAAAAGGGAATTTTAATGATAAACTGGAACATAGGAATCTTTTATTATAGCTTTATAATTCTCACAGAGGTAGGGTGCCATTTAAAAAAAAGCATGGCATGAGAAGAAAAATCCATTTTAAGGTAATGCCCCAGAGAAGCTCTGGGTGCCATGAAAACATCACAAGCTGAGGTCTAGCACAGTGGTTCACACTTCTAATCTTAGCACCTTGAGAGGGAGAGGCAGAAGGATGGCTTGAGCCCAGGAGTCTGAGGTTGCAGTGAGCTGAGATGACACCACTGCACTCCAGCCTGGGTAGAAGAGGGAGACCCTGTCTGTAAAAATAATAATAATGATAATAACAATAAATAACACACTGGGGCCAGTTTCTCAGCACCACTGTGAGTAGCCCTGGTCTGCCAGCCTTATTTCCTGCAGCCTCCAAGCTGAGGCCCTGATGCACAGAGGAGGAGTTATATTATTAACTTTATATTTTTCTAACTTTATTATTTTTTCCAGGGGGTCACCCACTTATTTATATATATAGTATTGAAGAAACTACCTTCCATAGAGCTAATAGCTGCTTTCGTTATATCCCATATCTTCTATGATTTTTAGTTCATTTGTGTTTATTTAATGTTTTAATGTCTGATTGGTTAATATGACATTATTACTGTTCATTTTCAAAATTATCCTGGTAATATCAAAAATTTTAAAAATACATACTATAGAATCAGCTTTTTTTTTTTTTTTAAAGAATCTTATTAGTACTTTTCTTATGATAAAACTAAATATATAGATTAATTCAGGGAAAACTGGTAACCTCTGATTAATGCAATTTGTCTTTGGGGTCCCTAAATAGCAGTTTAAACATTTTTTCCAGATGTATCTTTTTTTTTTTGGAGACAGAGTCTCAAGCTGTCACCTTGGGTAGAGCACCATGGCATCATAGTTCATAGCAACCTCCAACTCTTGGGCTCAAGTGATCCTCTCGCCTCAGTTTTTCTATTTTTAGTGGAGATGGGGTCTTGCTTTATGCTCAGGCTGGTCTCAAACTTGTGAGCTCAAGCTATCCACCCACCTCAGCCTCCCAGAGTGCTAGGAATACAGGTGTGAGCCACCTCACCTGGCCTCAGAAGGATCTTATAGATTCCTTTTAAGCTTTTTTTTCAGTACATGAAATATTTAACTTAATCATATTTTTCCCATCTTTGTGACCTCAGTTTCTGCCCTAAAATAAAGCAATTATTCAAAACAAACAGAAAAATTAAGAGGCATGTTTTGAATAAATAACTCACACTGTCTGGGACTCTTAATTTCTAAACCTTTCTCTTTAAGCACTGGTCTATCACTAGATTAGATCATATGGAAGAGTCACAAAACATAGAATCTGTTATCATCATATGATACAGTTTTCAAGAAGCTATTCATACTCATTTACTACACATTAAAAATAAGAAATCCATAATTTAAATTACATATTTAAGGTATATAATCAGTGTGTCATTTTCTCCAGAATGCAATAAGCTGGCTGATTGTTAACTGAAAAGACTTATGAAATATAGAAAAAAGCAGGGAAAAAACGTAAAACACTTCACCTTTGTGAGGCTGAAATTTTTGAAAAACAAAGATGGTCCACTCTTACCGAGACAAGATTCCTACAATATTTCGTACTGGAGAGCCATGCAGCAAGGGCCTCACGTTGCCAAGGTTGCTCAAAAATTCTGTTGTTTCATTCACTCTGCCGACTCTAAATATCTTCAAGATGTCCACTTGACTTTTACTATAAGAATTGGAAGAAAAACCTTGAGATTACTTAATTGGAAGCAAAACAAAAAAATCATCATTAGCAGAAGAAAGCCTGAAACAAGCCAAATGTCCATTATCAAGGAACCGATTCAATGAATACAACACATCTTAGAAATACCATGCAGCTATTAAATAATCATATTGTTAAAAAATAAATAAGGATATTCAACACAGTGAAATACAAAATTTATTAACTTTATATTCTTCTTAACTTTATATTTTTTCATATATTTATTCATATTATATCATATATGAATGAATGAATGAGCCCATTCAATCTATTGTCATAAATATGAAATGGAACTTAATGTATATGCGCCAACAGATTAAATGGGTTCATTCATTCATACAGTCAAAGAACCATCTGTGCTAAATGAATATTCTGCCAGGTACTAGAAATAACCTGGTCTCTGGCTTCACAGAGGTTATTAATGATACAAAAATTAAGAAGTTATCAAATACATTATTTCAAGTGCTACGAAGGAAACCAACCAGGTTCAGAGGACAGGGCAGTCAAGGAAGGGCTATTTTAGGAGGTGAAACAATATAGTATATTTATTGGAATGTGAACCAATATAGTACATTTTAAGACCTAATTGGTTTTTGTTGGAAAGTGGGTTGGATGGGAGAGGAGTGGAAAAGAACATCAGGAAGGATGTCATTGAGGCAGAGTAGATGGGATAACATGATCTGGACTAAAGAGGCCTGCAGAGTGAATGGCAGGAAGCCAGGGGATGACAGAAAACAGTAGTGGGAGTAGTGGTGGCTGGGAAGAGACTGAGGTGCTGCTGAGGGACAGTATTGAACGGGAGCCTATTGTGCAGGCCTTCCCAACCGCACGCTCTGTGGTGTCATGTTAGCACCTTGACAATAGCTATGGTGGGAGTATTTACTCTGCAGAAATAAGCAAGTATTACAAATTAGGACTTTCATTTCAGAGAGCTGGCTTCCCAACACAGCCCTGGCTGAAAAGGAGAATAATAATTCGGTCTTGTTCATTCGGTTATGTTCTACACCAAAATGCCAACAGTGGCTATAGTATGTGTAGGTTATTGCCACGTGGTAAGATTTTGAGTGGTTTTTAATTTTCTTCACATTTTTAAATATTTTCCAATGTTTCATCAAGTAACATAAATTTTAGAACTAGAAAAAAATTAATTGAAGAAATAATTATTAGTGAAATGAAATAGAGAGAATCTAGTTTTTCGTAGAAGCAGAATGTATCCCCTAGCGAAAAGCCCAGTTTTGTGGCATAAACTCAAGTACTTAAGGGGGTGAGGGGCTCTCCAAAGGCTTGCAGGGGTATCATTAGTTGGCTGAGCTATAGCTTTCCCTCCCCAGGACTTGACACAGCTCTTCCTTCCCATCTTCCCTGGAGAAGTCCACCTATTTCCCTCCCAGTTCTACCCTCATTGTCATCAAAGTCTTAAGTTCCAGAAGTCACATAGAGTCAAAAGTCAAATCAAAAGAAATAAAAAAATCTGATTATAGATACAAACAAAATCTGAAGGAAATATCAGATTGGATTTTTTAAATCTACCTTAACAAAATGTATTTTTTTTTTTTTTTTTGAGACAGAGTCTTACTACGTTGTCCTTAGTAGAGAGCCGTGGTGTCACAGCTCAGAGCAAACTCTTGGCCTTAAGTGATTCTCTTGCCTCAGCCTCCCAAGTAGCTGGGACTACAGGCGCCCACCATAACACTAGGCTGTTTTTTTCTTGCTGTAGTCATTGTTGTTTGGCAGGCCCAGGCTGGGTTTGAACCCACCAGCTCCAGTGTATGTGGCTGGCACCTAGCCACTGGGCTACAGGGCGCTGAGCCAACAAAATGTATTTTTTTTAAAAATTAAGGTGCAATTTACTTAACATAGAAGTATTATGTGTACAAATCAGTGATATTTAGTACAGCTGACCTTTGAACAACATGGTTTGACCTATGTGAGTCCACGTATGAGCTATACTTGGATTTTCTTCTGCTTCTGCCACCCCTGAGACAAGACCAGCCTCTCCTCTGCCTCCCCCTGCTCAGCCTACTCGTGGTGAAAACTTTCGAAATAATCCATTTCCACTGAATGAACAGCAAATATATTTTCTCTTCCTTATGCTTATCTTGGTAAGTTTCCTTTTTCCAGCTTACCTGATATAAGAATACAGTATATAAGACCTATAACACAAAACATGTGTTAGCTATTTATGCTGCTGGTAAGGCTAAACCTAAACCCCACATAACCCCGATTTGCAGCATTTGCTGATTTTCATGGTGCAAATCCCCCCACTGTGGCTGATTTCAAGCTACCCATGGTTTAGCAACCTGTTCACAGAAGCTCTAAAACTTTGATGATTAGCTTTCATAAGCTGGTGCCTGGAGCTACACACACCACTGGTGGTTCTCAGGGGTGTGCTAAGCTGATGCAGGAGAAACTCAGCCCATAAGCAGATCTGAGATGTCAGAAAAGCCCAGGAGAAAGGTCTCAGGAAGGAGTACTGCAGTGGAATTAATGACCAGCTCAACAGGAGTCAGTCCCATCTTCAAACAAGCAAGCACGTGAGTTTCTGAAGCTCAGAGGTAGACATGGGCCCAGCCAAGGTGACTTTCAGAGGTACTGACACCCAGTGAAGGCTTAATCTGAGCAGCCAATCCATCTCATTTGCTCTTACTGTCGAATGTACATCAGCACAAGACTATTTAGATCTTAGTTTAAGTGTATTTTCTTCTGTAGTATCCTACAAAATGCAAACTTGAACATGTTTTGATTTAAAATTCCCACATTTAACCCTCCACAAGATTAGGTAACCTTGAAATCAGAGTGGAATAACAGGGAGTGTTTTCACCACAGAATTCTGCCCCAGGCTAGTAAAAACACAGAACAAAATAATTTGTTACACATCATCACCACTGTATCTTGTTGCTGAGGATTAAATTATCTAGGTAATTATCAATCGGGTCTTTAACAGAATCTTAAAAAGTAATACATCATATAACAGAACCTGAGATATTTCCCTTATGCTTACCTGTGATTATTCTGTAAAACTTCTTTTTTAACCCTAAAAAATTCTTCAGTATTCTGTTCAACATGCTCAATTTTGCATCTCAAAGCCCAATACTTGGCAAGTGACGGTGGGTTGGATTTGGACAAGTTAGTTTCACAGACATTAAGCATGTCTCTGATTAGCTGTAGGGGAAAATGATATACAGATGTTACAATCACCATATATCAAAATTAATATTATATTAACACATTCGCAAAAAGATCGAAAAAATCAGTTTTTTCTCCAAAGCTTTTGATCAACATTTGCTGTTAGCTGTGTATTAAAGTTAATATAGTTGCCTCTTGGATATCACAATATACAATCATGATACTAGTGTGTGTTAGCATAGCATGCTATTGTTAATAATGTGTTTCCAGATAATCGTATTCATTTAATCCTCATTACACCACTGAGGGAGGTCTTAATTATACTTGTGGTGTAGAGGAGGAGAGTGAGGCTGAAAAGTTAGAGTGCTCAAGGTCTTCCAGTGTGGGAGGAGATAGTCAATGAATGAGATCTCAGGATCATGAAAGCTCAAGTCCAATTCTGATTAAAAAATTCATTACATGTGCTTGGTACAGAGACCTTCTTTTAGGTTGGAAAGACACAAAGATGAATAAAACATGAGTCCCTTCCCTGAGAGAGAAGCCAAGCATCCCTTCATCTATTCCCAGGCCCTGAAGCTTGAAAGAGGGAGGGGACCGCAGCCCTGGGTGATGCGGATTATGCTTAGTCTGTGGGCTTCTTGCTTTAGTGTCTCTGTGTGGAGGGGACACTGGCTGTTCTGCTTCCATGAATCTCTAAGACCACAGCATGATGAGGGCCTTTGTAACCATAACTCAAACCCGTGAGCCATAAAATAAAAGATTGATGCATTTTCCTACATAAAAGCAGAATACCTCTGTAGGGTAGAAACAAAACAAGTCAACCGCTACTATCACCCACAAAAATAATTTGCCATAAGCCAAGTAAAAAGGCAAATGAAGGAAAATAGTTGCAATTTATATCACAGAGTAAGTCTCCTAACCCAAGAAGAGCTTTTAAAACTCATGAAGGAAAATAGCAACACTCAAGAAAAAGAGGCAAAGGACATGAATACACGCTCACAGAAGAAACAAATGGCCCTTAGTCACAGGGAAGGTGCTCAGCCTCATATGGAGGGGACATTTCTCATCCCTAAGATTGGTAAAAGTCTGAGAGTTTGTCAAACATGCTCTTAGAGAGGCGAAGGGAAATGGAAACTCTCCTTTGATAGTAGGAGGGCAAAACTGCACAATGCTTAGGAGGGAAGGAGGCGGTATCTACTCCCTAACCCAGCACCTCTACTTCTGGGACTCTCTCCCAGAGATACTCCTGTTCCCGGATGGAATGACAAGTATACGAGGTTATTCACCACAGCACTGTTTGTTGTAGCAAATCCAGCAATAATCCAAATGCCCAGCAGGAAGGTATATGCACACAACACGGCGTGTCCCCACAGTGGGATATGAGAATGAGGATGCTCTCCACGTACAGGATATACGTGGAGAAAAGCAAATGCAGGACAGCAAAGATATGTAAAAATGAGAAGACTTTGTGCATAATTACGTATGTATGTAAATATATGCACACACAAAGAAACTCTGTGAAGATGAAAAGAAACAACGAAAAATGGTTCCATGTTGGAGTGGGGGATGGGAGTGGGGTGGAGGGACAGGGTAGAACAGAGATTTCTCTGAGTACATTTTTTAAAATATAATTTTGGCTTTTGAATCAGGCATTGTATTATTTATTCAAAATACAAATTTTGTTAAAATGTATTTGGGTGGGCATGACATGTTTCTTCTTAGTAAAACTGATGACTGAAATTCCTTATGTTTACTATTGGGGAAATCACAGAATTTTAAATGTAGAAAGGTCTCTCACCTTCCCATTTATAGGTCCTTCCCTTATTTTGGATTCCTGGCTCCTCTGGGAATCTGTCAAGAGCTATCATTTCTCCCAAACATGCAACATTTCAGATGAACGCCTCTACAGTCTAGGTTACGTTTTTTGGGTTTTATTTTTTGGTATAAAAAATAAATGGCATAATCATAGCTCACAGCAACCTCAAACTCTTGAGATCATGTGATCCTCTTGCCTCAGCTTCCTAGGTAGCTAGGATTACTCCGGCACCCACCATGACCTCTGGCTAGTTTTTCCTATTTTTAGTAGAGACAGGGTCTCGCTCTTCCTTAGGCTGGTCTCTAACTCCTAAGCTCAAGGAAGTTGAGCTTGGCCTCCCGGAGTGCTGGAATTATAGGCATTAGCCACTGTGCTGGGCCTAAAGTTTAGATTATAGATCTCCCATCTTAATTCAGACCCTCCAGGAGCAGATGGGACAATTCAGACCCAGAGAGTGAGCGACTTCAGCCTTATCCAAGGCAGAGTGGCTACCTCCTTTTCTCTTTGCTAACTGAGCCCCACTCCTTCCCCTGTGGCAAGCAGGGAGCTGGACCGTTTCTGAGCAGCCAAGTAACTCCTCATCAGTGAGTGGCTTAGGATTGTGCATATACCTTAATTCTCACCAAAGAAATATGAGTCTGCTGGGGTCTTTTTCTTTGAGACACAAAAAAAGACTCCAATGGGATGTTATGAACTACTGCCACCAAATGCTGATCGTGGGGGCTGTGCGGAGAGTGGAACATCAATTTACAGGAAGTACAGAGAGATGGAAAGAGGCTGGGACTCTGACCATAATTCTGGTTAACTAAGTCACAGGGTGCCTTGGGACAGCAACCAGCCCAGAGCTGGCCTTCTTATAGTGTAGGGTCACAAATGTCCTCATTGTTTAACTCAGTTGCAGTTTTCTACTTCTTCTGCAGAAAGAATCCTAACTAAACTCAGGGTCTGGAAAATTATTTTACAATGTAGCAATTCAAAACATAGTTCTGCATTTGTAGCACTACACCAACACGGTCATAGGAATATGAGTTAAATAACTTATGTATGGATCCAGAGCATTATGAAATGGTAAAATAATTTATGGTTGAGCACAAATCTGGAGACTTTGTAATTTAGTATTTTATTAGTCATCAGATTTTTAAAGACCCCCATAGGCATATTTTAAATTGAATTCTAATATTTTTTGATTGTTTGTTTAGTTTTGAGACAGTCTCACTTTGTGGCCCTTGCTAAAGTGCCATGGCATCAAAGCTCACAGCAACCTCAAACTCTTGGGCTCAAGTGATTTTCTTGTTTCAGCCTCCCAAGTAGCACCACAATGCCTGGTTTTTTTTAAAGACCGGGTCTTGCGCTTGCTCAGGCTGGTTTCAAACTCCTGAGCTCAAGCAATTCACCCGCCTCAGCCTCCCAGAGTTCTAGGATTACAGGCGTGAGCCTCTGCACCTGGCCTTGGATTCTATATTTCAGAGGTTTACCTGGCAGAGGTCCTCTTTCTTAGCCAACAGTCCCAGGTTAACTTCTTCAAGTGTTGGACCTTTGTGAGGTATCAGTCTGTAGAACTCCGCCATTGTCTTCTGCAGCTGCTCTGCTGTCTCTCCATTTTTCAGCGCTGCCTTTACTAGAAGGAGAATTCCCTCTGCCTTGCTCACCTTTAAATACAAGATCATATGTGCTAATTAAAGTAAAATCTTCATAATCACAAAAGTAAAGGAGAGTATACAAAAACTATCTAAAATAATTGCTGGACATGTTGCAACTATCTGTTTTCTACTTCACAGCCACCAGAAAACAAGTGCAGATCTCGGCTGTAATGATTTTTAAGGATTCTTCCAAAACTGGTCTTGGCTTAACTAGAGGAAAGAATCAGAGTCTTATATTTCTACATACATGTAGACACGTATACATACATATACATGCACACAGAGAGAGGAACACTCGTGCAACTGTAAGAGACTTGCTTTTTACATGAGAAATATAGAAAGATGTCAGAATCAAACCAGGAGCAAAAAGTTCCTGAATGTGTTTCTGATTGCACCAGCACTTCATAGACTATCCCAAGAAACCTTATTCTCTCTGAGATAAGTTAGTTTAATTCCATGGAGGAAAATTGTCTATATTATTTTCCTACGACAATACAGTTGCACAAGTTGCACCATTGGGGATATCTTCTTTTTTTTTTTTTTTGTAGAGACAGAGTCTCACTTTATCGCCCTTGGTAGAGTGCCATGGCATCACACAGCTCACCAACTCCTGGGCTTAGGGAATTCTCTTGCCTCAGCCTCCAGAGTAGCTGGGGCTGCAGGCACCTGCCGCAATGCTTGGCTATTTTTTTGTTGCAGTTTGGCCTAGCCGGGTTTGAACCTGCCACCCTCAGTATATGGGGCAGGTGCCCCACCCAATGAGCCACAGGTGCTGCCCAGGGATATCTTCTTTTATTTGCTCTTTCAACTGCAATTATACATAATTAAGAAGAGAAGAGCATTTTCTGGTGGGCTAGAAGGGTGCCTGCCTTTCCTAAGACAGTAAGACGGTATGAGCCTATGAAGTCACTATGAATTGGCTTAGGGTCTGGGCCTCTAACTGAGGACTAAGATTGTCCCTATCCCTCAGCCCCCCCTACAAACCTTTTGGCCCAGAGAGTCAGGCTTCCTAATTAGCCAGCACCAGAAGCCTACCATTGATTAGCTCCTCAGGGCTAACATTTCATCTTATTTTATTTTTATTTATTTATTTCTGAGACAGAGTCTTCCTCTGTTACCCAGGCTAGGGTGCTGAGGCATCATAGTTCACCAGAACCTCAAACTGCTGTGTTCAAGTGATCCTCCTGCCTCAGCCTCTCAAGTAGCTGGGCATCAGGCACCACGCCAGGATAGTTTTTCTATTTTTAGTAGAGATGGGGAGTCTCACTCTTACTCGGGCTGGTCTCCAAGTCCTGAGCCCAAGTGATCCACCCCTATTAGCTTCCCAGAGTGCTGGGATTACAGGCATGAGCCACCGTACCTGGCCAGGACTGACACTTTGTAGATGGGATGTCCAGTTTTCTTAGTAATGTATGTTCTCTTTAGTGGACTTAGTGTTCCCTTTCTTCAGGGTATAAGGAAAGAACAGTCGGGAATGAATTCCAGAGCAATTGGATCACCACGCAAATGTAAGTATTATTTAAGCTAATACACCAGGGAAGCAAATTTGTTATGTTTCATTCCAACAACACATTTGACTCACATCGTTGAGGCTGATGCTGGTCACTGGCTTGAGGAGTGTGTGCTCCAGGTGGCCTAGGGCTTCCGCCCAGATCAGCTCCACCAAATCACTGACCTCGCAGCTCAGAGAGCTTGAATTTATGACCTCCTCTAAAAGCAGCTGCAACAACAAAATAACAAAGAAATGCCACACAAATTCATCAGAGGTGTGAGAAGAAACAATTAACTATAGCCAGGTAACTGAATTCTATGTGCTGGGCTCTCTTTGCCCACTACCAGCCCCACTAAACACTCTTTTAATTCCCACCCACCTTTCTTCCCATTTGATCCCTCCTCTTGCCTTTTCTTTGACTATGTAAACATTAAGCCGGCAATGAAATTACACATACACAGTCAGGGTTAAGGACTCATGGCCTAGATGGTAATGAAATCTTTTTTTTTTTTTTTCAGGGTAACAAAGAGAGATTTTATTTAGGAAGAATAAAGAGAAAGTTTAGAGCCAAAGAGAGTGGGTCTCCCTCATGAAAGAAAGGTGAGAGACATGTAATGAAATCTTTCAAAACCCCAAAAGGTCTGTCAACCATTGGAATAATCTGTGGGTTGCCCTGGAACCCACTCCTGACTCAACTTCCATGCCTTTCTGCAGTTCACCTTTCCTCTCAACTCCTCTGCTTTCCCTGCCAGTTTTTATTTGTAATAGCAAAAATATTTCCATTAAAAACATTCCATCGAAACCACAAATAACCTGGGAGGTGGAGAGGGTTGGACTGCATGATCTCAGGAGTTCAAGACCAGCCTGAGCAAAAGCAAGATCCCCATCTCTACTAAAAATAGAAAAACTACCAGGTGTTGTGGTGGCCACCTGTAGTCTTGGCTACTGGGGACCCTGTGGCAGGAAGATCTTTTGAGTCAGGAGTTTGAGGTTGCTGTGAGCTAGGCTAATGCCAATGTACTCTACCCAGGACAATAGAGTAAGACTCTGTCTCCAAAAAAAAAAGAGTGGCACCTGTGACTCAAAAGGGTAGGGCGCTGGCCCCATATGCTGGAGGTAGAGGTAGTAGGTTCAAACCCAGCCCCGGCCAAAAACTACAATAAATAAATATAAATAATATAAAAAATAAAAAACACAACAACATTTATAAAATCAATCTTACTGCTTGCAATTTTTCAGATGCTAATTGGGTTGCTTCAGGTGTAAAATGTTCTCTTAGTAGAAATCCTTGTTTCTTCAGCTCTTCGATGTAATTTTCATAGTATTCACTTGCATCCTCTGAGTTTTTCTTTACAGTGAACTGTCTCCTAGTCTGTGAATTATAGTATACAGCAAAAGTACAGGTGATTATTTACATACTGGTATCTGTCTTTATCGAATACCTACTATGTACTGGACATAAGTAAAGCATTAATTAGGTCCCTGCCATGAAGGAGTTTAAAACTAGTTTTTTCAAACATTACTTAAATTTTTAGTTCTCTACAAAATAGTCTAAAACCTGGAGGTATAAGGGGGAAAAGCTTGAGAAGGCACAACAGATGGAAAAGACCTATTTGATTCATCCAGAGTCACTCAAAAGTTCATTCAGAGGGCATAGACTCTCACTTTATAGACTTTTTTTTTTTTTTTTTTTTTTTAGAGACAGAGCCTCAAGCTATCCCCCTGGGCAGAGTGCTGTGGCATCACAGCTCACAGCAACCTCCAACTCCTGGGCTCAAGCAAGCCTCCTGCCTCAGCCTCCCAAGTAGCTGAGACCACAGGCACCTGCCACAACACTTGGCTATTTTTTGGGTTGCAGCCATCATTGTTGTTTGGTGGCCCGGGCTGGATTTGAACCCGCCACCTTAGGTGTATGTGGCTGGCGCCTTAGCTACTTGAGCCACAGGCGCTGAGCCTCACTTTATAGACATTTAAGTAGCTTTGAAATCTGGCTTTTTGGCTGTTTTGGAAATGAGAAAAAATAAATCAGAGGAGCAGAAGAAAAGAAAAATACCTTAGAAAGGAGGTATGGTTAGAGATAGACATTCACTCAAAGCAAATCAATAGCTTCCAGCAGGGAGAAAGGCCATCAGGTTGTGCAGCAATGATGTCGAAGGCACAGATCAAGGAGCCTTTGGAGAGGTACAAATTCCTTCCTCATACTGCCTCAAACTGCCTATGCATGCGGCATTTTCTGTTTTTTTGGAAATCTCTGCTCCTGTTATCTTAACATTAACCTTACGTAATATGGGAGAATGTTGTGCTTCGGGGGGGTGTGGTCCACTGGGAAAGCTTCACTACTCAGGACACAGACCAGCCACCCTCCCAGATACCTCTGAAATTTGGAATAAAGAAGTGCATGTTGAGTCACTCATTTAAAAGTAGAGTTTAACATAATTTTGAAAGGTGTCCCTCAAAATGATCTTGTTAAGGAGAAAGGCAAGCTGGAAGATGGTCTTCTTCAGAACCCCTCTTTCCTGGTTGGTTGAGGGAGGATAACTTCTGTAAAGGTGGACAGGCTTCTCTTCCCCACAAACAAGGCTCACCCAAGACAAGTTCTCGGGCTCAGCTTTCTGAGGGAGGAAGGCTCCATGAAGGGACAGATGGCCTAGGCAGCATCACAATGAAGAAAAATATGACATTGGGAGGTGCCTGTGGCTCACAGGAGTAGGGTGCCAGCCCCATATGCCGGAGGTGGCGGGTTCAAACCCAGCCCCGGCCAAAAACTGAAAAAAAAAAAAAAGAAAGAAAGAAAAATTATGACATCTCCTATTATGATTTTCAACATGATTTTTACTTGTTCTCTATCCAAACAACTAAATCTTCCACAAAATACAGTATTGGCAGTCCCCGGGTTACAAACACCATAGGTTTTGTAGGTCTGTTCTTCAGTTGAATCAGTATGTAACTTGGAATAGGTACATTTGCTTATTACCTGTAATAGCTTCCATTGGTTAAGTGCAAGTCACACATCAGTCAGATGTTTGTAACTTGGGGACTGCATGTATACATTTTCTGGGTACAAGGTTAACAAAACCCTTTTTCCTTCTTCAACACTTCAACCTTGGATTGACATTCTAGCTTTGTGAGCTGCAACGTCAGCATAATGGCTTAGTTATTAGTGACTTCTCATTAATAAACTGCATTAGAACTGGGAGTTCAATGGTGGGAGACCTGAGCTCTAGGCTTCTCTGAGAGCAGTGAAACATAATTGGATACATCCCATAAGGGCATCTGGAACCTAGGCCAGTGTTACAAGAGATATGAGCTCCTGTGGGTGTAGGAATTTCAAGCCTGGTGGATCTCATACCCACATGATGTGAGTCTCCTTCCCCTGCACCTGAGCTGGAGGTCCCATGTGGTGGCAAAGTGACATGCTTCTGGAGCCCATGTGGACAATAACTATGTTTCCTGACCATGGCACATCTGTAAGTCTGCCTATCTAGTTGAGACGGCACCCTCACAGTTGTTACAGCATTCTATTTGAACTTCAGGCATTAATTCAGAATCCATTTCTGTTTGTTGATCATTTTAGGTGGTAAATGTGCTCTTGATTGGACAGTGACCTATGGCAAAGGTTATGGCCTCTGCAAAGTCTCCTTTGCCATTCCTTCCCTCACTCTCCCCTCCCCAGGCTCTTGGAACTGTCACACTGACTTGCAATGATGAATGTGTTGCTCCCTTACAGAAGGTGATTGTTCAGGATGTTAAGCATTTTTTTATCTTTGAGTCCTAGCCCTGGTAAGTTGCTTGCTACATGGCAGTCACTTAATGAAGTGCGTCAACAGATGGCTTTTAGTTACACATTGGGAAAACATCCTATAACTGATGTGGAATAAGAGAGCAGGAATCCTCCATGCCCCAAACTCAGGGAATATTCTTCTCTGGCAGGACCCTGTGTGCTCTATTCAGGGGAAAAGGTCCTTGTCTCCCATACTTTGAAAGAAAATACATTTCCACTTTGCCAGGTGTTATGGGATGAACTGTGCCCCACAAAATGCATATGTTCAAGTCCTAACCCCTGAAAATGGGACTATATTTGGAGACAGAGCATTTAAAGAAGTAATTAATTAAGTTAAATGAGGTCATAAGGGTGGGCTCTGATCCAAGATGACTGGTGCACTTACAAGAGGAGATCAGGATAGAGATACCCATGCAGCAAAAACATCTGCAAGCCAAGAAGACAGGCCTCAAAGAAATCAATCCTGCCACACCTTGACCTTGGACTTTTAGCTTTTAGTGCTGTGAGAAGTAAATGTCTGCTGTTTAAGCCCCAGGTTATGACAATTGTTATGGCAGCCCAAGCTAAGATACCAAGTTAGAAGAAAACAGTTAGCAGGCTGCCTGGTTCACTGACCCATTTTAAGAAAACTAGTTATGAACAGGGGTAGATAAACACAGAAGTCAATATAATCAGCATTACCTGTATGCCATCTGCTAGGAGAAAGTGTGAAGATATCAGAAAAGGACAGTCCCCAGGGTCCTGGGAACACTGCAGCTCCACCACCACAGTTTCTTGGGCTCCGTCCTCCCCCACCTGGAAAATAGGATGCGCTCTTAGAAGCTGCACTAGGGAAATAACAAACTACGCATGCCATTTGGATAAGTTAATTATAATTATAAAGTAATACATGTTCTCAATATTAGAGTAATAATATAGAAAATACAGAAAAGTATCAAGAAGAAAATTTAAACCATGGCTGGACACAGTGTCTCATGCCTATAATCCTAGTACTCTGAGAGGCCAAAGTGAGTGGAATGCTTGAGCTTAGGAGTTGAGATAAGCCTAAGCAAGAGCAAGATCCTATTAATATCTGGGAGGAGAACTTTTGGGGTTTTGTGTGTGTGTGTGTGTGTGTGACAGAGTCTTGCTCTGTTGCCTGGATAGGGTATATTGGTGTCATCATAGCTCACAGCAACATCAAACACCTAGGCTCAAATGATCCTCCTGCTTTAGCCACCCAAGCAGGTGGGACTATAGGCATGCACTACCATGTCTAGCTAATTTTTGTATTTTTAATTGAGACAAGGTCTCACTCTTGCTCAGGCTGGCCTTGAATTCCTGACCTCAACTACTGGTCTCTACTAAAAAGAGAAAAATTAGCTGAGGGTGGTGCTTGTGGTCCTAGCCACTCAGGAGGCTGAGGCAAGAGGCTGCTCATTCCAAGAGTTTGAAGTTGCTGTAAGCTATGACACCACAACACTCTACCTAGGGTGACGGAGTGGGACTTATCTCAAAAAAAGAGAAAGAAAAAAAATTACCTGTAATTCTACTACAGATATATAATCACTGTTAATAGTTTGGTATTTTTTCCTTAAATATACCTGCATATTTTGTACTGTACAGCACTAGTGTTGAATTTCATTTGTGTGACTTCATTAAAAAAAGTTTTGTGTTTTTCTTTCTAATGCAAAAGTGATATTGGACAGGTGGTACCCCAGCTAGCTCAGCTGAGCGGGGCTGAAGGACCTGCCGCCTGGTCTTGGCAATGTTGGTGGCGGCAGCCGGCAGAGGAACCAGCACAGCAGGCTAGAGCGTAGGCAAGGGGGGGAGCTTCCATCCCCCAATGCAAGCTCCAGTAGCCAAAAGAACCGGACATGAGTGGGGGAAGACACTGGCACCATGCTGTCTCCTCAGGTGGACTTCTGGCAGCTCCCCCAGTGCATCACTGATTGGTCTATTTTCAAAACCTGCTCCTGATTAGTCTGCTTTCAAGACCCAAAAGCTCACTGGACAACTGCCCCTATATAAGCCAAAGAGCCTAAGCGCAGACCTCAGCAAACCTCCAAGAGAGCAAGGAGGTTTGGCTCTCTAACACTTGTATCCTACTCTACGAGATTTGCTCCTTTGTAAGAGCTATAAATACTTGCAAGGAGGTTTGGTTCCTCGTGAGAGCTGTAACACTTGTATTGTAAGACCTATCTTACTGCTGGTCCTGCTCTGCAAGAAAGCTTGGTTCTTTGTAAGAGTTGTAACACTTATATTGTTAAATAAAACCTATCCTGTGGTCCATTGCTTCATTTTTCAAACCTCTGAGACCAAGAGCCTGGAAATCCAATATCAAAAATCCAGTATCAGATTGATGGAAAATAAATATACTTGTTAAATCTACCCTTTTCAAATACAAAAAACTGTTAATATCAGGGAGGAGAACTTTTGGGGTTTTGTGTGTGTGTGTGTACGAGACAGAGTCTTGCTCTGTTGCCTGGATAGGGTATATTGGTGTCATCATAGCTCACAGCAACGTCAAACACCTGGGCTCAAATGATCCCCCTGCTTTAGCCACCCAAGCAGGTGGGACTACAGGCATGTACTACCATGTCTAGCTAATTTTTGTATTTTTAATTGAGACAAAGTCTCACTCTTGCTCAGGCTGGCCTTGAATTCCTGACCTCAAGAAATCCTCCCACCTCAGTCTCTCAGAGTGCTGAAATTACAGGCATGAGCCATTATACCCAGCCAAGGTCTTTTATTCCATTGCACCCAGCCAAGGACTTTTATTTGTAATGCCATGTGAATATATTATATTGCCTAAAATTTTTAAACAAGCATGTATCACTTTTAAAATAAAAAATTAAGCATTAAATTTTAAATACTAAACTTTTCCTGACCATTAAAAATCAACTCATACTTTAAGGAATATATGACATTCAGGATATTTTTCAAAACAATGAAAAAATGAACAGGAGGAATACTTGGAATACATTCAAACACTTGTGGGGTTTTTGCTAGATCAGTGGTTCTCAACCTTCCTAATGCTGCAGCCCTTTAATACAGTTCTTGTGGGTTGCAACCCAAGGTTGAGAATTGCTGTGCTAGATAGAAATCAGACTTACTTTTTCCAAGGTGTTATACTTTGCAACTTCCAAATCTTGAGGAAAATGAGGAATTTCAACATCTTCTGTATAAAACCTGCAATTTGTACAGTGTATAAAATTTTAATGTTAAAATGGATTTTAGGCTAAACCGAATTTCAAAAAAATTACCTTATAGATCCCCCAATTCCTTACAATACACAAGATAAGTCCTTAATGCCCCATGAGGTATTCTAAAAATGGTTAAAGGACTGTGTGAAGTGAGCTAGATTCTTCCTCTGCCTAATCGCCCAGATCTGATGGCTGCAGCTTCTGCAAGAGAAGGCAGGATGCACGTGGCAGAAGCAGAAAAGAATAGCCTCACAGCCTTGGTACAGGCCACTTGGCCTTGGATCTGATCCTCAGAAGTTGCATCACGCATCTCTGAACCACAGTCAACTCTTCTTTATTTTATTTAATTAATTTATTTATTTTTTGAGACAGAGTCTCATTTTATCACCCTTGGTAGAATGCTATGGCCTCATAGTTCATAGCAACCTCAAACTCTTGGGCTCAAGTGATTCTCTTTTTTTTTTTTTAGACGGAGCCTCAAGCTATCCCCCTGGGTAGAGTGCCATGCCATCACAGCTTACAGCAACCTCCAACTCCTGGGCTCAAGCAAGTCTCTTGCCTCAGCCTCCCAAGTAGCTGGGACTACAGGCGCCCGCCACAACGCCCAGCCATTTTTTGGTTGCAGCCATCGTTGTTTGGCGGGCCCAGGCTGGGGATTCGAACCCGCCACCTTAGGTGTATGTGGCTGGCGCCTTAGCCGCTTGAGCCACAGGCACCGAGCCTCAGGTGATTCTCTTGCCTCAGCTCCCAAGTAGCTAGGACTACAGACACCCACCACAACAGCCAGCTATTTTTATTTTTATTTATTTATTTATTTTGAGATAGAGTCTCACTTTGTCACCCCGATAGAGTGCCATGGCGTCACAGCTCACAGCAACCTCAAACTCTTGGGCTTAGGCGATTCTCTTGCCTCAGCCTCCCAAGTAGCTGGGACTACAGGTGCCCACTGCAACCCCCAGCTATTTTGTTGTTGTTGTTGTTGTAGTTGCCATTGTTGTTTAGCAGGCCCGGGCCAGGTTCAAACCTGCCAGCCCTGGTGTATGTGGCCAATGCTCTAACCACTGAGCTATAGGTGCTGAGACTGCCCAGCTATTTTTAGAGATAAGGTCTCACTCTTGCTCAAACTGGTTTTGAACCTGTGAGCTCAGGAACTCTACCTGCCTCAGCCTTCCAGAGTGCTAGGATTACAGGTGTGAGCCACCATGACTGGCCCTAATTCATACTTTTTATTTTGGATTTTGTTTTCTTTAAACATAACTATTAACAATAGAGTAAGATCAAATGTGATGACCAACTAACACTGCAGTTTTGGGTAAACTTTAAGAATCCCTATAGTACTTTAGATTTACTTACATACTCTGTTTGAGGAAGGTCATTATTTCCATTTTTGAAAATATCAAGTGAAGAGTAAAAAACTTTTTTACTTTTTTTAAAGACAGAGTCTCACTTTATCACCCTTAGTAGAGTGCCATGGCATCACACAGCTCACAGCAACCTCCAACTCCTGGGCTTAGGCGATTCTCTTGCCTCAGCCTCCCTAGTAGCTGAGATTACAGACACCCGCCACAACGCCCCGCTATTTTTTTGTTGTTGCAGTTTGGTCGGGGTTGGGTTTGAAGCCACCACCCTGGGTATATGGGGCTGGCGCCCTATCCACTGTGGTGGAGCCACAGGCACCACCTATGAACTTTTTTTTTCTTAAAGAGACAGAGTCTCACCCAAGCTGAAGTGAAGTGGCATTGAGTCACCCAGGGTGAAGTGAAGTGGCATGACTGGAGCCTCAAACTCCTGGGGTCAAGTGATCCTCCCACCTTAGCTTCCCAAAGTGCTAAGGTAACAGACAAGAGCCACCACACCTGGCCCAAACTGTCTTTAACCTAAAGACTACTCAGTAACATAACAGAGTGAGCAGGTTGCCCAAATCTTACTTTCCTAAAATCAATTAATCTAATAATTACATCCAAACTCATATGGTATGAAGAAGATAAAAACAATTACTACTATACTAATTGAAGTAAAAAGTCTTTTTTTTTTTTTTTTTTTTGAGACAGAGCCTCAAGCTGTCCCCCTGGGTAGAGTGCTGTGGCATTACAGTTCACAGCAACCTCCAACTCCTGGG